CTGCAACAAAACAAGCAAGCTCAGAGAGCACCAAGGACCCTTCATTTCAACCCCGAGCTACAAATATTCTCCTTTCATGGTACATTCCTAACTTCTAGCCTAAATTAGAGTGGGTTGCCCTGAATTTGCTGGAAGAAAAGATCCTGTGGCAAATAAATAGACGTAAGGAGAGCATGTGGACAGAAGGACGACAGAATTTCCATCCATCCACTCATCTCAAGAAAGGGCAGCTTGAAAAACATCTCCCTCCCTCTCTCTTCCTTATTCTTGAAAAAAAGTAGAGTGGCAAGATGGACCAATAGATTGAGCAGAAGACACCTGGATTTTGTGGCATCCCTTTTTGAGCCAACGAAGGTTCAACTCATCAAGGCACCCACCTAATGTAAGAGCCTTGGTACTACAGTGGTTTAAAGCACCCTGTTATTAACACAGCTGCCTGCAATTTACTGCTGGTTCGAATCTCTCCAAGGCTCAAGGTTGACTCAGCCTTCCATCCTTTCTAAGGTAGGTTAAATGAGGACCCAGTTTGTGGGGGCAATAAGCTGACTTTGTATAAATATACAAAAGGATGAAGGCTATTGCTGAATGCACTGTAAGCCGCCCTGAGTCTCCGGAGAAGGGCGGCATATAAATCAAATTAAAAAAAAATAATAATAATAATGAATGCGCTCAGCCAAATTGTGTCTTCAAACCAATTCAATCCCCACATTCAAATTAAAGACCCAAATGAGATCAAGAAGGCCACTCAAAGGGAGTCACCGGCTTCTGCTAATCATCAGATACTTTCAAAACTTTAGGAGCAGAAGAACTCTTGTGCAGAATAGGCATATAAACAAAATAAACAGCAGGATTATCCGGCATTATGAAACTGGATTACCGAAGATTTATATTCAGTACCAAGTATATAGAGAATAAAATCCATGCTCAAAGTATCTCTATGATTCATTTCTATAATTGCTTTGTTTATTGAAATATTCTGGCACTGCTGCAGAACCCCGCGGCTTAGATGAATTAATATTAATTTTATCTCCTCTCTATTTTCCTGTTCGTGAAACAATCTGGGTATTGTTTCCATTTACGAAATCCCGTTGTGCCCTAATGTAACCAAGGCACAATGCCACCTTCCTCCCATCCCAAAATTGGGCATGAGACTTCATGAGAATCGTATCTCCAGACAGATACCTCATCTTCCCCTCTGAAAGAAAGGAGAGATTGAATCCGCTTGGTTTGCTTATGATGGACCTCATCCAGCTTCCCACACCAGCCCACCCTTGGAGACGGCTCAGGTCATTTACTGTAGGAGTCATATCCGATTGATTCCTTCTTTAGCTTTTCATTTCTTTGATTTAAAGTCCTGGGAGATGAGTGCAAGAAGTGTTGGGAAAGTGCGTGTTGCCACTCAGAAAGCTTAAGTGGTGTTTGTCAAATAGATTTGGGGGATGGGGCTAAATGGTGGTGTTTAAGGCCTGCCAATCATCTCTTTAACTGTACCAGTTGGAGGCTACTTCTTGCCACAGTACAAAATTCATTAATGGACTATGATGTTTTTAATATAACAACATCATTTTTATAAGGCAACAAAGCAAAACATACGTCCACGAAAAGACAAGAAACCTGTGAAGATAATCATCCGTATGGATAAAATGTGGAAGCTGTAATCCAATTACGGAATGTAAACCTGAAAACAAGTTGCTTGCTCAAAGTAAATTGAATGTGAAATGATAGCTGTCTGATACAGCTGAATTCAAAACATTTCCTCTCTGGCATGTGGAAATGATACTTGGCAGGATTTGTGCATTAAGGCTCCCTTTAAAATGTGAAGGTTCTGGCATTTGGTGAAGAGATTGTGGACTGGTTAGTTGTTCTTGCTGCATTTGTAATTTTTAATTGCTATTTTTTTTAAAAAATGTGAGCATTTTGATCTCATGGCCCTCCTTCCTACTAGATAAGGGATTCCCAAAGTCTTCATGTCAGTGGGGACATTGAGAATTTTTCTAGGATGTGTTATGAGAATTCCCCCCAAATGTTTGCTAGATGTAACAAAGGACCAGCCAACTGGGATTAACCATTTCTAAGAACGCTTCTGTAGGACACACAAATTATTATGCTTCAACCTGTTTTTTTTTGCTCTGCAGCATTCTTTTTCCTTTTTGCCCCCTCCCACACACACCCACTTAAACAAAATCAGGTAGAGACTAAAGGAGCCACGGAATCTAGTGAGAAGGACATTATCAGCTTCACAGTTCGTGAGACCAGGCCTGGGATGAATGTTGGACAGATGTTTACTTGCCTCTGGGCCTACAAGCACCCTGGGGGAATGGAAGTAACATCCACAATTAAACCCAATCCAGCTGCTTCAAAAAGGACAGCTGTCCATTCAAGCCATTGACCAGCAGAAATTAGATGAGAAGGAGAGGAGAGGAATGAAAAGTGCCAACGGGAAGGAAAAATATTCTGTTGGCCCTTCTCTACAACCTCAGAATTCCTCAGCCACAGGTGATAGAGGGGCCACAGCTGCCCACCCTGATCTAATCTAATCTAAAATTCATAAGCTAATGTACTACATATTAAAATATTTATTTGATAGATTCAGATGTGTGCCATGCTTTTACTTGGTGACACCCAAACTGAATGATAATACCTGAGCAGTATTTCTTTTTTAGAATTTTTTAAAAATAATAAATTGTACAATTTATTATTAAAACAGCATTCAAATCAATGGTTCAGTTTTTAGTATATTAAAAAGTATTCATGAAATGTGGGCGCTTACATTACCAACTCATTATTATTCATAGTCCATATATCAGTGAGACATTTAAAACTATTTCCCGCCATTCTTACAATGCATAGCACCTCTCTGTCATTAACAGACGACAAAACCTCCATATTCATGACTTAAGGATCAATCATGAAAATAAAAACTTCTTCTTATAGATTTGCCTCCCTTCCCCCCCTTTCCATTGACATAATTAAACTAAATGGCAGAGGAGCTGTTAAAAAGCAGAGATCACCAAAGGTGGAAACTGAATTTTCCTCTCTTCCTACTTAGGGCAGTGATAGCTAACCTTTTTGCCATCGCGTGCCAAAAGCGGGGAGGGGCGGGTGAGAGGGGTCGTGCACATGTGTGCCCATAATTCAATGCACCCCGCCCCCCCTGTGCATGCGTGTGTGACCCCCCCCGCGTTCCCCTCACTTTTGGCACATGACGGCCCGATGGGCCCGGTAGGCCCGTTTTTCACCCTCCCCAGGCTCCAGAGCCTTTCTTGGAGTCTGGGGAGGGCGAAAACGGCCTCCTCTGGAGGCCGGAAACTGCCTGTTTCCCGACTTCTGGTGGGACCAGAAATGAGCTGGCTGGCGTGCGCATAAGCGCTGAGCTGAGCTAGGGCAACGCTCATGTAACCACAGATATGGCTCCGCAGGCCACTTGTGGCACTAGGGTATCACAGTCTCTCTTAGCAGCATGAAACCATTTAATATCAGGTAGAGTAAATGTTTTAATATTTGTATTCTATGTTTTTTATCTTGGCTGTACACCGCCCTGAGTCCTCAGGGAGAAGGGCGGTATATAAATTGGAAATTAAATTAAATTAAATTAAATTAAATTAAATTAAATTAAATTAAATTAATATACAAGGACTGAGATGAGGGAGATTAATAAAAAGCAAAATATATCAATCTAATAATAAGTCCAAAGCTTCTGACTTTGTACAACAACCACAAAAATTAAATCAAAAAAAAAAATTAGAAGGATTTTCCTTTCTAGGAGAAAAGATTAGCCTTGAGGGACAGACATTAAAAAAAGGGGGGGCGGGGGCTTCAGTTCTGTGCTTGGGGCTCCCATCTTGATTTTTTACACCCAAAGAGGAAGCCATGGAGACTGGCTGACTGATCTTCTCCACCTCTTCGGTTGGGTGGGCATCAGCTTGAATGACCCAACCCCTCACAACTGCAGGAAGCAACCAGCTTGCCTTCCTGTTCAGCAAAGATGACTAAGCTACGTCTCTTCCATGTTGCTCCTGGCTTAACCCAACTTTGAAATTCCACGGATTAGCAGTGGCAACGGTCCCTTGACTGGTCATTCCTGAGCTGCTTCTCCTTCCTTCCATCCATGCAGAGAATGCAACGTTCATGGGTTGGCTGTGGGGTGGACGGGTCTATCGGTGCTCCCTGGTACTTACGGAGATTGTTCCTTCCTTACTGTGACTTTCCTTTGCTTTCCCTGATATTTGCACACATGGGTGCCTGCAGCCCCAGCACCCCCTCCCACCTTCTCCCCTTTGACGCCAACACAGAAATCACAACACAGTCCTTTCAGCAGTTCCAAGAAGGCTCCACATCCATTTGCACTATTCTGGTGACCGTGAGGGCACAAATAAACCTCCAAGTGGCCTCAACGACTCTCAGAAAGAGTGCTAATGACCAGCTGTCTGCAAGGGGTATAAATCCTTCCATCTTCCACCATTCAGTCAGAACGGAAGAAGCTTCTTGGATGAGAAGCGAAACTTATTCAAGGAAAAACAAAGAAAGCCCAGTTATCTCTTGAAGACACACTTATGGGACAATCATGACCTATGAATCTCCATAGACGTCTAACAAAGAAGTATTTCCTTTTTACTTATGACATCTTCATTGTACAACCAAAGCTACAGGGGGCAGATTGTTCTTACAATAATACATTCCTCTGTAAGATCAATGGAAGCAAAGAGGAAATGATACTTCAGTGTCAGAGAAACAAAACCAGCCACCTCTCTACCTTGCAACCAAAAGATCTTAAGACAAAGAAAGGAAGGGAAAGGAAGCACCGTGGAATGTGGGCAGGAGGTTGGAAGGCAAGAGGAACATGCTTCATGCAACTTGAGAAAAACAAAATACTGCCCACTGGCTGAAGGCTGAACAGAGCAGGAGCTTCTAAGGTTGAAGATTAACCAGCTATTAAGAGGGAGAGGTTTGCCAGGTCCCACAGCCAGTAAGCCCAGCTTACTACTGGAAAAGAACACGGGTGCAAGATGCGTTTGCAATCGGCTGGAGTGAGAAGAACAGGATGTCTTCCATTCCGGTACTCAAGAAGCTATGAACAGACGGTACCGAGGCCAAGAAATCTGTTTACATCTTACATCTGCTGCCTGCAATTACTGCAAGTTCAAATCTCCCCAGGCTCAAGGTTGACTCAGCCTTCCATCCTTTCTAAGGTAGGTGAAATGAGGACCCAGATTGTGGGGGCAATAAGCTGACTTTGTATAAAATATACAAAAGTATGAAGGCTATTGCTTAACGCATTGTAAGCCGCCCTGAGTCTCCGGAGAAGGGCGGCATATAAATCAAATTAAAAAAAACAAAAAACTGCATTTGTCCTAAGATATTGTTTTGCTCCCGCCCTCTGCCGTTTTTATTACTCACTCTTCCCTATGAGTTTGAAAAAAAAAAGAGAAGGAAGAAATCCCTGGCAGAGTGATCAAGGTTTGCACCAACAATTGAGAGTATTACATTTGAGAGCCGGATTGTCTTTTCTTGACTCCTCCAGGTGACCACGGGGGGTAGGTGAGACTTGAGAATGAGTTCATCACAGATTAGTTGTCCAGATTAGAGAGTTTGTGAGATTATTTACTCTCTTCCTGGGATCTGTTTATGCAGGTTAAATGAACAAAGGCACTGCCATTTTTCTTGCAAGAAAAGACCAAATGTTCACAGGTGCCCAGACTCTTAAGCTTGAGGAAAGAAAAGAAAGTTTTGTAAAGCAGGTTAAAAATGGCTTTAACTTAGGCAAGTTTTTAATAGCTTTGCATTTTATTCTGGTTTGGATCGCTATTGGAAATGAATAAAAGCTAGCAGGGCAGTTAAGCCCTTTGTTCCCTCAACAGTTTTAGGGATTTCTTTCTAACTATGTGAGGTAAATATTAAATTCAGCTTTCCAAAATATACAAGTCATCTTTTCTCTATCCCCGCTACATTTTAACCTATCAAATATTTGCTAAAGCTCTAATGGAACTATGGATCCCATAGAGTAAATTCTATTTGCGGCAAAGACAATATGGCTCTTTCCAGACTGAGGGTTCACGTGCAACTATTACAAATAATATTGTAAAAACATGGACCTGTTCCATCTTTCCCTTGCTGATAGGTTTCCTGTGGCAAGACTACAAAACAGCAGAAGTTGGAAAGAAACTTCTGAAAAGTTCCCTGTTCAGACTCTGCCTTCCCCCCTCCAGACGTTTCTATGAATGAGAGAAACTGATTGTGCGCTAAAGCTTCATTTACCAATTGCTAGGCCTGGAAACAAAGTCTGCTTAAAGTCTGTTTGTGTCGGAAGAAGAGGAAGCTTCCCTCCTTCTGCCTTGGAAATGAGGGGTTATTAACAGTCAAGCCTTCCCCATCTTTCCATTTCATTCAATTCAGTCCCCATCAGTCAACATTCAAACCCCGCCTTAGCCACGAGAGCCGGCTGGGTGACTTTGGGCCAGCCAACCTCTCTCTCGGCCCAGCCCACCTCACAGGGTTGTTGTTGTTGTGGGGGAAATAGGAGGAGGAAGGTGTGTTGGAAAAGTTTGCTGCTGCCTTGAGTTATTTGTAAAAGTAATAAAGGCAGAATGCAAATCAATAAATCTTCATTTAGACAGTTCATTTAGTTCGAAGTTACAACGGCGCTGAAAAAAGAGACCTATGACCACTTTTCACACTTATGACCATGGCAGCATCCCCCACGGTTATGTGATTTACATCCGAATGCTTGACAACTGACTCATATTTATGACAGTTGCAGTGTCCCGAGGTCACGTGATCCACTTTTGTGACCTTCTGACAAACGATGTCAGTGGGGAAGCCAGATTCATTTAACAACGGTGTTACTAATTGAACAACTGCTGAGATTCCCTTAGCAAACGTGGCAGGAAAAATCGTAAAATGGGGCGAAACATAATTCATAAATTTCTCTACAGAAGGTTAACTTAACCACCAAAAGTCCAGTCTGAATGCCAGGCTAATGATTTGCCCACCCTGGAAGACCCAGAGAAGAAGAAATGGAAGAAGAAGGCCGCTCAGAAAACATAGCTTGTTCTGCCTGCCCATCAGAAGTCCATCAGACGGCATGTGTGTGTGTGTGTGTGTGTGTGTGTGTGTGTGTGTGTGTGTGTGTGGTTTTTGGCAACAGGTCCATCTTCTTGGCAAGTAAGCGCGATCCGAGGTTCCTGAAGCCAAGTCTCAAATATCGCTCTCAAACGAATTATCCTTTCATTGTGCAAAATCTGGATCATGCCTACAACATGGCGGACGTCAATGCCTCCCAATCCCCTTCCATCACCACCACCACCCCGCTCAAAAATGCCATTTGACATTTTCCCCCAGAAAAGTTGCCTCAGTTCATCTTCGTCTCAGGAGGCCGAAACGAAGGGTTGTGTGAAAAGGAAGATTAACTTCCCCGTGACTCGATGCCAACGCGGATTAGAGAAGTGGGGCAAGAGGGTCTGTGATGGAAATGCATCCCAAACATTTTTGACACATCTATGTGGCCCTCAGTGTGAGTCAGAAAGAGAAGCAAGAAAAGTGTGTGTGTGTGGGGGGGGTTAACCATGGAACATCTCCCAATTACATGCTGCATCACGTTTCCGGTAAATTCAGGCTGAGTGTTCTGCTTTTGGGTTATCTCTCTTTGCTTATCTAGCTCTTTGCCCATCTGGGATGCTTTTGCTGTGAGGAAAAATGTTCATGAAGGTGTGATATTTCAGAAAGAGGGTGTGATGTCACCTGAATTTCCCAAGAGGCTCCCTTCTCAGGAGGGGAGAGTGTCCAGTTAAGTTGAACTATGTTCACCAGTAATTTAATTTAACTGTCTCAGCCGACAGTGAGGACCAACCTGGAAATGTCCTAATTTCATAAAAGGTGAAGGAGACAGACGCCAAAGAGATGACATTGCATTGATTCATTCTCTCCTCTCTGTAAGTCTTCAAACCTCTTCTCCTGAGCCGGCCTCCTCATGAGTGACCGTGTCCAAAGGAAGAATTTAGCCATGACTATATCCAAAAGAATCAGGATGTCTTCAGTCGGAAAAGAGGCAGAGAAAAAGACACAGTAGATGTTTAACCCACAGAATGTTACTAACCTCCTTTTTAAAAAAATGCCTTGAAAAGGAAAACCAAACAGGCGAAACATATGGAAATGCATTTTGTAATGTAAAACAGCATTTGTATTCATAATGGGTCGTTTGCAGCCGAGGAGCCACACTGGATGCATCTCTGTAAAATACATTCCCAATATAATCAGTGTGCAATGACCACAGTTGTTTTCTAGTTGGCTGCAAGGCCGAGTAACACAATAACCACAGGATACTCACCAAATTTAATAATTTACCAGACTTACTTAGGTAATGTGTGTCGAGCAACGGGCAGCCAGCGCTAAGTTTTCTATTCTTATTGCAAAATATATTGAGGCCATTAAAAACAAAACAAGGTAAACTTTCGTATTCCCCCCATTTCATTCCATTTCAGTAGATGTGTTGCACGCATTCAATATTCAGCAGCACACTAATTAAAAACAAAAAGAAAAAAAAGGAAAAGTCTCGACCATGTAACATGAGCAACTTTCCAGTTCTAATTATACTAACTATTCCATTCTGAAAAGAAAGTCTCACCAGATAATCAAATCAAGAAAAAAGCGTTGAAGGAACACAAAAATCGTTTTAGGAAATGGGACTTAAAAAACAAGATTAGATGCTGCCATCAGAGTTCAAGGAAAAAGGCTCATAGAAAACCACCTGTAAAAAGGAAGATTGGTCATATAATTAGTCTGACAGGTTCTGGAGAACCGGTGGTGAAAATTTTGAGTAGTTTGGAGAACCGGCAAATGCCACCTCTGGCAGGCCCCAGAGTGGGGTGGGAATGGAGATTTTGCAATAGCCTTCCGCTGCCATGCCCACCAAGCTACACCCACAGAACCTGTAGGGAAAAAATTTGAATTTCACTCCTGGGGATATGTAATATTTCACCTTTCTTCCAAAACTGGTAGCCTACGGGATTCTTGCAGTTGAAGTTTTCAAGTAATTCAAAACCTGGTCTTTTCCTTAGTAATCCTTTCATATGCATTTTGCTAGTGAATAAATACTCTTATACAAGTTCTCTGCAACTTAAAGAAAATGTGCATGCGTCACTCAGAAAATTAATTACTGATATTAAAACTTAATTACAAACATTAGTATTTTTCTACTACCGATGTAATAAATGAAATGATGCTTGCCTGTCAAGCAAGACAGCATATTTCTAATACTTTTAAAAATACTATAGAATCAATCTCCTTAGCTGAGAAAAAGATAAATATGTCCTCTCCTGAAATCTGTAACAATTTGCTAATGTTGTGTTATCAGCAGACAGGAAAAATATGGTACCTTTTCAGCGAAGGAATTATAACAATAAAGAGGATTCCAGGCAGCTGAATCATAATGATAACCCTCGCATCCTGGACATAAACTCTTTCAACTCCTACCCTCAAAACGACACTATAGAGCACTGCACACCAGAACAACTAGACACAAGGACAGTTTTTCCCCAAACGCCATCACTCTGCTAAACAAATAATTCCCTCAACACTCTCAAACTATTTATTAACTCTGCACTACTATTAATCTTCTCATCGTTCCTATCTCCCATCTCCTTCCACTTATGACTGTATGACTGTAATCTTGTTGCTGGTATCCTTAAGATTTATATTGACTGTTTCCCTATGACTATCATTAAGTGTTCTACCTTATGATTCTTGATGAATGTATCTTTTCTTTTTATGTACACTGAGAGCCTATGCACCAAAGACAAATTCCTTGTGTGTCCAATCACACTTGGCCAATAAAGAATTCTACTCTATTCTATTCTATAAAATAGTTGAGAGGACAAGAGAAATAACTGTCAAAAGTGCAAAAGGAAGAATCTGCGGCTTTGTAGATAAAGTTGAGACCTTTCTCTGGAGACTGGAAGACCCAACACAATGGCTCTCAGAGTAAGCGCACATTTAGGGAAAGGCAAGGCCAAGAGGAACTGGATGGCGGGTGAGTGTTGTTAACACAAGACACATTTAATAAGCAGGGACAGCAAGGTGAAAAATTTAGACAGCATCATCAGACCCTCAGCTGGTCTGCCTTGAAGGTATCTCTGGGGGAACTAAAGATAAGACTGGAGTGTTGGAAGCTCCCTAATAGCTGGCCTGTTACACAATCATCAAGAGTAGCCTGGGGGAAACAAACCTCTCATTACTTCTGCCTACCTGCTCACAGAGGAATATCTAAATCATGGCGATATTCTAATTAGTGTATGGGCCGTCCTTCACTGTATGATTTCTCAGTGTTGGCATGGCTGATTCTGCAAATCTAAGGATGAATCAGATTCTGCAAACTAGTCTTGAAAATGGCTTTCAGTTTTGAGCAATATTCTTCCTCCCCAAACACCTTTTGATGTTCAATTGCCATAATTTTAAAATTTTTTAACCCTAGTTTAATTTTTAATTTTTCTGCATTGTTTTATTGATTGGTTATGTTATATTGTACACCATCCCAGAATGCCTCTTTGAGGGTGATGAGTGTTTAGAAATATGAAATATGATAAATAGCAATAGCAACAGCCCTTAGACTTATATATATACTGCTTATATACATACATACATACATACATACATATATATATATATATATATATATATATATATATATATATATTTGCCCGCCACAATCTGGGTCCTCTATTTACCCACCTTGGAAGGACGGAAGGCTGAGTCAACCTTGAGCCTGGTGAGATTCGAACTGCCAAATTGCAAGCAGCCGGCAGTCAGCAGAAGGAACCTGCAGTCCTGCACTCTAACCACTGCGCCACTATGGCTCATGAATATTATAGTTATCCATCCATTTTTCTGTGACTTGACTGTAAATTGACTTTTAAACTTTTAAGCCATTAAAAGTTGCTGAAATACCCTGCATCTCTTACAAATAATAAATATTTATGGATGTGGAGATCTTTATTCTAGGATTAAGGATTAGATGTAAACCATCTATTTCTTTAATCTGATTTCTGTCTCCTCTCCTCATTCCCTTTCCTTTCTTACCTGCCTTTTTTCTTATACTGTACAGACGAATCTCTGGAAAACCAAAGAGGGAAGCAACAAAAGCTATTTAGATGCTACACCAGCCCTAAGCCTCACTGAATGGATGCTTTCTTCAAAACCTTGGATTTATCTGCTGATGAAGCTCATGGGACCTAACCATTACCTACATTGATTCTGGTTTTCTCACTGAAACTTCATAGGTGTGCTGTGATTTATCCTCAGAAAACAAAGTACTTCCATCAATCCCTTCCACCACACTGTTTTCCTGGTCAGGTTTTTGCCAAGCCCCAATTTTTGATGGGATTCTAGATTTTCAGACTTGTTTGCAAAGGGAAGTCTTTCCACAGTGATTACAACATTGTGATTTCTGTGGTTGTGTGCTACCAAGGTGGTACCATTGCAAGTGAATGAAATGAAGTTGTGCAAAGGATCCTTGGCCGTAGCTTCCATCAATTCAAGAAGGAACTGAGTCCAGAAGGAGCCGCAAATTGGGCACAAAAACTGGATGAGACAGTGCAATTTCCAGTTCTGAGACCCCTGGGGCCTCACCCCATTTAGTTCTGGTATGATTATTTCCTCTTGATGGATCCAATCTGAAACCATTGCCATATTTTATTATTGTTTTTTCCCTAATGCCATCACTCTGCTTAACAAGTAATTCCCACAACACTGTCAAATAATTTACTAAGACTTGTATTACTATTATTCTTCTCTTCCTTCCTAGTACCTATCTCTTCCCACTTATTACTATAACCATGTTGCTTGTATCTTTCAATTTATACTGTTTTTATTTGTTTCCTAGTACGATTTGATAGCTTATTAGTAACCTTGACGATCACTAAGTGTTGTATCTTTTTATTCCCGATGAATGTATTTTATTCTCCTTATGTATACTGAGAGCATATGCACCTAAGACAAATTCCAATCACACTTGGCCAATAAAGAATTCTATTCTATTCATCTATTCATTATACTATTGTTTTTCCATTCCTTCTCTTGAGGGAGCAAAAAGGAACCTTAACAGTATTTTCAATGAAAACAATTTGATAAAAGCAGCAGTGGTGCACAAGACAATAAAAGCAACAAAAATACTGCAAGTAAAATGGAGGGTTTTTAATACATATATATTAAGAGAGTCTAACAGCACATTAAAAAGCAATCTGGTCAACCAGTTTATCTTCAGATGCTTGAGTGGGAGTACATTAAACACAGCACCAACTGAAAAAAAGACTCTAATCCTAATACTCAAAATCCACAGAAATGAAAAGGATCAAAGATTGCCCAAAAGATTTCAATCCAGGACAGGACAATCCATAGTCTCGGTGACTCATACAGACTCATTCTCTGACTTGCCTTCTGAGATAGCAAACGTGAAAATCAGATGGTGGCAAAGATAGTGACTGTGTGATCAAAGCTCCCCCTCCCCCACTTTTAAACCTTGGTTGAAATTCTGTTATTTGTTTTTTAGCTCCCCTGCCAACTCTTCCCCTTTGGCAAAAGAACTGCAATTAATATAACATGAATTTATATTCTGTGCAATTTAGTCTTGCTTCAAATCCTCTGCATTCCTTTATCCATTATTGGGTTTCCTACATGGGCAAAATTTCTTATAGAAGAATAAACAAAAATGGGGTCAGAAAAACCATTTGCACAAGCAAAAGCACAAAGTTTAGATATTATTTTTGGTTTTCTGATTTTCGAGTCACAGCAATTGAACTCACAGGATTCTCCCTAGGCACAAATGCCAGAGCAATACTATTAATCACCTACAATTAGCACCTATGATCGCATGCAGGTATCACCAGCAAGCATTTCAAACAGAACGCAGGTAGTCCCCGACTTATGACCACAATGGAGCCCAAAATTTCTCTTGCTAAGTGAACCATTTGTTAAGTGAGTTTTGCTCCGTTTTATGACCTTTCTTGCCACAGTCACTAAGTGAATCGCCTTGGTTGTTAATTTAGTAACATGGTTACTTTGCATGTCAGAAGGTCGCGGTGACCCCGGGACACCACAACCGTCATAAATAGGAGTCACGTGCTAAACGTCTGAATTTTTTATCATGTGAACATGGGCATGGTGCAACGGCCATAAATGTGAAAAACGGTCATAAGTCACTATTTTCAGTGGCATTGTATCTTTGAGAATGGTGACTAAATGAACTTTTGTAATGGTTTATTGCCTGTATCTTTTTAAAAATCTTGGCTGGAATACTTGCAAGATCTGTGAGCAACATCACGAAGAAGGAAGGGCTAAAATAACATTTGTTCTGGAATTTGAAAAAGTTTCTCTTTGGCTGACAGCAAATGACAGGCAGCATTTTGTGACCTTCTCAAAAAAAACTGTGAGGACTTTCATTTGAGTTATTTCTAATATGTATAATTAGTACTTACATATTAGAAACAACCATAAAGCACTTTACAATAAAACTGTTTAAAAAATCCATTCCAACTTGATAAAGCAACGAATGAAAACAAACAATTAAGCATCTGAGATTAAAAGAACAGCTATAAAATTGATTAGCAAGCGTGTTGCAACACAAAGATTGCAACTAAAAGGAAAAAGAGCTGCTACTTAGAAGGCTCCTTCCGTTTCCTTTTTTTTCTTTTTTGCAAAGGTCACTCAACTGGGCAGCCAAGGCAGCATTGCTGCTGAGAAGTAACCCTGGCCCTGATAAAAATGGAATTGATTAGATAAGACAAATGGTCTTAATTAGAGTTTTGGTATCTGCTGTTTCATTTTATTTTTTGAGGAGAGGTGTCGTTTCCAAATCCTTTAAAGAAGACAGGGCCACTTCCAGCTTAATGGAAGGCTTTTGCCTAATCACGGCATCCTGGTAGGATATTAGAAGCCCCCAAGGGCAAGAAAACCAACCCAAGAGGAGCAAGGCTGAGCAATTACCACCCCACTGTTTCAAGGTTTAGAAATGAAAGTTATCTTTAAATAATACCTAATGACCTAAGCTTTAGGAAGAGCAAACTTGAAGTCATAAGAGGGCAGAAAATGCTCTGCTCGAAGGGTCTTGCAAGCAGGTCCCGCCATCCTGCCAAAGGTTGTATCAGCTACCTCCACAAAGAAGAGGAAGGGGACAATTTAGTTTCCAAAGCACCAGAAGGCAGGACAAGAAACAATGGATGGAAACTCATCAAGGAGAGAAGCAACCTGAAATTGAGGAGAAACTTCCTAGCAGTGAGGACAATTAACCAGAGGAACAGCTTCCCTCCAGAAGTTGTGGGTGCTTCATCACTGGAGGTTTTTAAGAAGAGACTAGACAGCCACTTGTCTGAAATGGTCGAGGGTCTCCTGCTTGAGCAGGGAATGGGTTGGACTAGAAGACCTCCAGGGTCCCTTCCAGCTGTATTCTGACTGACTGAGCTCTTCAAATGAACCAGGAGCCAAATCACTTGGAAATGTCCATAAATGCCACTCCTTCAGAGACTGGCAATGAATATTTCTCCAAGTTTCTTCTTCAGGGCTGTTGCCATAGGTTCTTCTATCCATGTTGCTATTTACAATCCTCAACAGGAAAGGAATAAAGAATTAAGGTGGAGGCCTCAAGATGGCTGCCTTTCAGAAAAGGCAATTTCTCTGTGAAACAGCTGAGCTTGAATTCATGAGGAGATTTAATATTATTCCTCAGAATAACGCCTCCGATGAAGTGAGCTGTGATCCATGAAAGCATTTGAGATAAGTCTTTAAGATGCTCTGACGTTTCATTAGAGAGAAAAGATTCCTACTTATCAGAACCAAAGTTATTTGGCACAAGATTGGTGCATTTAAGCAAAGAGACAATGCCTAGACTCCTGATTCAGGCTCACTGCGTGGAGCATATCAACTTCATTACTTAGCAGGCTTGATTCCAGGAGCTGATACCAATCTTTAAAGTTCAAATCAGTTTGCGGTTTATTTATTTGAAAGCCTATGTGTGATTCAGTGCACTCTGGCCAACATCTGAAAAATCTACTCTCTATTCAGAAGAGGTAGACAAGAAATAGAGAATAAGAATGCAACTTACTTTGAAAACGCTCGACGCATAGATATCTCTGCTATGAACTTTCAGATGGAATTGGATGGAGTCTAGACTGAGGACTCCATGAATGCAAAGCAAGCCCAGGTGGTTCACCATTTCAAGTATTTTTGAGGAAACCAAACACATGGTTTCCCTGCTGCCCTCCGTTTGAATCCATGAGCAACATAACAAACATTCCAAGAGAGAAAACATGGCCATTATCCTGGACTGGGAAGAATCTGGACTGGGGTTAATATAAGGTGACCAACTTTTTTACAATGAGAAGGAGGACTGTGCCGTGTCGTGTTTCGGTAAGAAGTAAACAAAACCACTTGCGCACGCTGCACTCTCTCAAAACAATTCTCCTGTGCGGAGCGCATGCATCTCATAATCGCATCTCGCCACACTCTACCGAGCCTTGACGAAATGTCATGTCAAATACAAATATGTCACATCACACGCAACGGATCGGATCGGCATCGATCCAATATGGAGATTTACAGATTAGTCTTCCAATATCGAAAAGGAGGACATGTAGGAGGACTTTTCGAGAGAGGACAGAACTTACAAAAAAAGGATTGTCCTCCCTAAAGGAGGACGATTGGTCACCTTAGTTAATATTGCCTTATTTGCATTTCAAATTACAGGTAATCCTTAATTTACAACCAGTTGTTTAGTGACCAAAGTTACAGCAGCACTGGAAAAAGTGATTTATAACTGGTCCTCGCAATTACGACCGTTGCCACAGCCCCATAGTCACGTGAGCAAAATTCAGCATTTGGCAACTGGCATTGTTTATAATTGTTGCAGTGTCACTGCTGTGTGTGTGTGTGTGTGTGTGTGTGTGTGTGTGCGTGTGTGAGAGACATGATCCCCATTTAGGACCTTCTCAGCTAACTTCTGACAAGCAAATCTACTCACTGATTCAGTTTCAATTTATTTTTTTTGGGGGGGGAGAGTGATTAAGGTAACCCACATTCACTTCAACAAATAAGCAAAGTATTTTTCAATCACTCCAGTAAAGATGGGGGACCATCTGTTAACATATGGCTCTTGAAGACATGTTTACATCTGGGAGAACAAGGCCTCTTATTAGAGAGACCAAAGGATTGCGAAGATTTTTCAAACGGTGGGTGACAGATTTTATGATCTGAAGAACAGGAACTGTTTGATATATTAGCTACAGAAACTTTACTACTTCAATTTATACATAAACAGAAGGTCAGCAATAGAGATGTGGTTGATAACGTAAGCCTGTTCTTCATCCTAATGGTAATCAGAGAAGTAATGCTAGGAATGGGGTAATATACATTTTTGAAGAGCAGATACGGTCCACAGAGAGATAAAGAAAATAAACTCTTTTCTACCATGTAGCCATATCTGGCCTACACTCATAACATCAACACCAGATATTGGCTGTTAACTTCTGCCAACAACAGGACCTTTTCTTTCTTAAGTCTTAAAAAAAATGAATTAAGACCTTGATTCTTAAACCCATTTTGCTGGCTTTATGGCATCTCCACACACTATAAGGGAAGCCATTTAGAACCCAGGCACAGGAGATGGATTATAGAGGCATGGAAGGAGATTGTTCTTGAGATCTCCCTTGGCACGGACAAATCAACTGTTTCCCAATTCATTATTTCTCTGCTTCCAGGGATCCACCTGGATCTGTATCAGAACAGAAAGTAGTTATCCAGATGATTGCAAGCACACCATAGCAAACTATTGTATGAACTCCAATGTTACAACTGTATTTCCTGCTTTTTTTAGGGCAACCTACTTCCTGGAGCAGTGGGAGGAAAAAAATCAGGGATAATTTTTTTCAATGAGATGCCTCTTGATGTGGTACTGTGATGTGGTCTTCAAAGTTTGTCAACACTGCCGATGTCTATGGAGATTCTCAATCATCCAGTCATGTTTGTCCCAAAGGTGCTTTTTCAAGAGGCAACTGGATTT